ACTCTTTCCTCATATAGCTGGTGAGCCTTTCCCTAGCAAAGCCGTTTCTTTTCTAAGGCAAAATTTGTTTGTTGCCTTGAAAAGCTCTGAGTTTTGCTGGAAATCGTGTAAGGAGCGACTGCTTGGGTCCATGATCGAATCACCAGTCAAAAGGAGGAGGTAACAAATCAGGGAATCACCATGCCCATGCCAGGGCACCCCAGGAGAAGTCTGTCCTTCTGGGGTGCCCACGTAAGCGTTTGAGTTTGGGTGAGGAGTGATCAGGAGAGCGAAGCACATCTCCAGGTCATGCATCATGGAGCAGTCTTGGCTTGTGCAACTGGATTCCTCTGAGATAAACTGATATAAATGATAAGCTCTGAGATAGACCGGGGCTTGCGCTTGGGTCTCTAATGGGCTTTCGTGCCGTCGCACCGTCCTAGTGGCTGTCAGAGGAAAAAATCACATGTGATGCCCTCCCACTTTGGTGCATTTCCGCACAATAAATCCATGTGGCTGATCCTAACAGGGGGCCCAATTTCACATTCTGTGTGTAAGCAAAAATCCCCTTGCTGCCTGTGGGACTGAAATTCATTTCGGGTTTACCTTTGCGCACTAGTGGTCATAGGTGGAAATTTAGCCACAAAACCGCCTCCCCAAAGCGGGCCCTATCAGTTACACCATTTCCTACAGGGGAACAAATGACCTTTTGAAAGAACATAGCTGAACAAAAATTTACCTATGAGATAAAAGAGGGTATTAGAGCTTAGGAAAACATACAAAGGCACAAATGCTATGGGTGTGTACTTTTAGAAGGAATCTGTGCTGTATCTGTAAGGCAACCTCTTGCATTGCACCTGACACAGACTCTGAGATGCCACAGGAAGTATTTATTATGAGTGGCAATCCTCACGGCAGCATGCATTTTTTTCTGCGTGTCGTACAATATGAATATATGCATTCCTCCTGCCTCTTTGACTCCCACGAAGGCAGTGAGGCAAGAAAGATGATAACCTAACAAGATTAATTTGAATGCAAGACAAAACACATTTGTTTAAAGAAAAAAAAAAACAAACTCGAGATAGCCTTCTCTTGGAATGCTGCTAAACATGACTTTATGAGCAATGCATGCTTGTCTACTTGTCTCTTTAAAACATACGGACTTGTCTCTTTAAAACATAGGGCTTTCTGTCACTTTGGCTGTTCATCTGGGTGGCCAAGGTGTACATGGTTAGGCACCAGCTTCTAACAGACATCGATGCAAATATGTGTAATAAATATTTGGAAGTGGGGCAGGCTTTGGCCTTCGGTTTTAGAGTGTGAAGAAACAGGCAACTCCCCTTTACACTTCTCTCCATTGTAAGTCTTACAATGTAATGTTCTTGTTTTCTAGGCAACAAAGAAAAAAAAAAGTTCCTGGTGCAGCCCAATGCTGTTCAGCAGTCGCTGTTAGCCCAGGTCCAAGTAAGAAGAGGCTAGATTTATGCTTGTTAATACTTCAGTCAGCCTAGTAGATCTCACAGAGTCATCTGCTCTTCCTCGTTATTGGTGTAGATTTTGGTCGATTTTTCATAAATTTGGCTTTAAACATATATGCCAGGTGGATAATTCCTATAGGGAACTGAAACAAATCATAGCCTGGCTTGGCCTACCAAATTTGGTAAAACATTTAGTGAAGAAGGTTATTCATTCAGCAGAACTGAGCAGTGCTCCAAGTCATGCTATTTATAATTGAAAATGATTTGTGGGTGAGTGAGTTAATTATTTCTTGCTGCCTCGCTACCCTCTACCTAAATTAAACCTATGTATTGACCTTCAGTAACAATTGAATTTCAGCCATGTTGTTTCTAGCACATGCTAGTTATTTTGGTTGGGGTGAATATTTACTGTTTCTCCTCAGAGGTTCAGACATAAATAAAAGTTTAGAGGACCTCTGGGTAAATTTGTTCATGGTTCAGCACCTTAATGTGTCACTTAGCTACTAACAACCTCAATAAATTGGACCTGTTGAAAATAATAGCTTCTTTGCCACTTTGCACCCCTGCTTTACCTATATGTGCTGCAAGAGATATATTTACACATCAGAGAAAGAAGTAAAAGTGAACTTTTGCATGCTTTCTATAGCTAAAATTAACAAGGCAAGACTACTTTCTTCAGATTTGTGTCCTGTAAACCAGGAGACACACTTTGAAATCTTATTAAAAACCTTCTCCTACTGACACCCCTTGAGTTTTGCCTGAGTTAAAAAAAGAGTAAGACTACAGGATAAGGATTTGACTTGAAAACAAAAGTGTAACTATCATTAGAATTTGAACCTCACTCATTTGCTTTTAATTCACCATTAAGGAAATTTACTCTGTGCAGTTTGATTAAAAGGGGAGTCATCTCACCTGCTTTCAGATAACTGCAGTAGAGCTGTGTGCTGTGAATGACCCTAGGCTAGGCTCTCGTTATAATCCTTCGAGAAAAATTAAGCACAATTCATCTGCTCTATTGTAGGTAGCTATATTAAGATGCAGTGAATAATGCCTTAAAAATGCCTGGTTTGCTCAATTGATTGTACAGCAGCATTTGGTCCAGTGAATACCAGAAATAAACAAACTTTTTATAGTATGTGACTGCATGCTGTACAGAATAGTATACTCTTAAGCATACCCATACTTCCTGTGTTCTTGCAGATCCCAAGCAAAAATCAGGATACCTGAACTAGGACCTAGGCAGAGCTTAGGCAGATGGCAGTCTTAGATTCGGGACTGTAAGTCTTTGGTCCATAGTTCTTTAGTTGGATTTTCCTTTAACATTTACAGAGGTAGCCCCTGTACTATGAGATACGGCAGTGCTTCACCGCTCTTTGAGCGGTGTTTTGGGTGAAGGCGTCTCCATTAGGATGCCATGGGATAGCACAGGGGATTTTGATCGCACGTTTAGGGGTTTGAGAAGAACCTGGGCAGATGCACACTTCTCATGGTTGCTGACATAGGACTGATGCCCCTTAGCAGGGAGCGGGGACGGAGAAGATGATAATCCACAACCATTTCCTAACTAAGCCACACTGCCAAGAGATCAGGTGAGAGGGCCAACAGCTCCAGTGTTGGCATGCAATACTTCTTACCTACTTTGAAAAGCTTTTAAGGAACAGCAACGTGACAATAAACTTTTATTCAAGGAGCAGCTGTGTCCTATGTTTTCTGCTAAGAAATCAAAAGGAAAAGTTGATTTGCATGCAAATAGCGGGATAGTTTTCTAGGTCAAAGTTTAAGTTGGGTAATAATGTTGAAGCAACACTATAGCAAGGAGAAACATGTTTGAGGTGCGTTTCTGTAAGAATCGAAGGTGTCTTCTTCACCTTCTTTCAAAATATGTATTTACAAGTGATGATATATTACTGCATATAAGCGGGAAAAGCTATTACGTCTGATTTTAGGTATCTGAAAGTTAGATGTGTAGCATTAGGTGTAACGATACCCAAGTCTGATCTTGTCAGGCTATACTTCATTTATCATCAATGGAGAAAAAGAGGTTCCTCCAGAGGGCAGCTCATCTACCTACCACAGGTGTCTACCTTAGTAGTACAGACTTAACATATCTAATTATAATGCTAGACATCTAAGTTGGCACAAATGACTCTCTCTGTCCTATGTTCCAGTATTACAGTCTTAAGACAGTTACAGTTATTTCACTGAATGTTGTGTTTCCTTAGCAGACAAGTTAGAGAAGTATGCTGTAAATGAAACTTGTCTACATGAGTGCGAACAGATGACAGATAAATAAATGCCAGTAGGCTGTGTTCAAAGACATGCAGTGTAGCACCTGAATTCTGTAGGACCGATAAAACATGGTGTGATGTGCTATGAAATGCTTCTTGTTGGAAATCAATGTTATTTTAAAACACTCTGTTCAAAGATAGGGGTGGTCATCCTGAGTCGGACCGGAGCTCATCTCCAGCAGTAGTCAAAGTGGATGCACAGTAAAAAGTATAACAGCAGACCAAGCATTTGTGATAGCTTCTCCCAGGGTCCGGTCATGTGCAGCTCAGAGACTCCCCAGCCAGACGTGAATTTAGCTTTAATTAATTTATCCAGCCTCTTCTTGAACCCGAGTAGGTCTGTAGCATCAACAGGGTCCTGTGGCAAGGAGTTCCCCAACTTAACTATGTGTTGTATGAGCAACCACCCTTTTGTTCTCCATCTGCTGCCTTCTGTTTTCATTTGGTGTCCCTTTGTTCCTGTTTTAGTATATTCATTAACATCTTTATTAAGGTCTTGTATACATTTTGTTTATTTGTTTGTTTGCTATCTGTTGTGTAAAAGTGAAAACCTGATTTACCTCTCAATGTTTCCACCTAGTGGACATCAAAGATAAAAGAATGAGAGCACTAGTGGAAGTACATTTTCATTTTGAATGAGACATAACAGGTTATGGAGAAAAACTTCCTGGGATGATTATTCAGCTTTGTGAGATTACAGTGTTCCACACAAAACCAGGGGTGTGTGGTTACCACAGAGCTTTTATTACAAAGAGCTCTCAGAAGGGAGGAGATAGCAAGCAATCAGTTATCCCATGGCCTTACCCCAGGGATCTTTGGAGTATCCTCAGCCGGCACTGAACAACTATGCATGTCTGAAGCCAGTCTTTACTCATTTGTCCAGGTTTAAGCATGGCAGTAGTCTAATCTCAAAGGGTCAGCGATGGCCCCAAGGTTGTGCACATCTTTCACTTCATTGCAGTGAAACAGTATATTTGGTGGGAGCTGGGCTCCCATGAGGCTGCCCTGCAGAAGGCACCTAGAGGAAAACCTGTGGTGCTGAGGCAACGTTGCTCCATTAGAGGTCTAATTCTGTTTGCAATATTTAGTGCCCAACGCCGCATGGAGTGAAAGGAGCTGCAGTGAAGTCCAGCGTGGTCCCTGCTCTAAGCGTTACACCTTGTGATTGCAGGTTACATCCAAGCCTGCAGAGGACTGATGATCTCTGCCGTCTGCCTGGGCTTCTTCGGTGCTGTGTTTGGACTGGTTGGGATGAAGTGTACCAAAGTCGGAGGCTCCGATCAGACTAAAGCAAGAATAGCTTGTTTAGCTGGACTGATTTTCATACTTTCTGGTAAATATGACTTTATTTCCTTTAAGTTTATATTTTTGAAGTCATATCAGAGCTGATTCTTTTCCACAGAAATCCACGCACGATACTGCATGATTTCAGTGGCTTCAGGGTCAGGCCCAAAGCTCCTCCACTGATCCCACTGAAGGGCTTGTCTTATGTTTTTCAGGGTTGTGCTCTATGACCAGTTGTTCCCTGTATGCGAACAAGATTACATCCGAGTTCTTTGATCCTACTTTTGTTGCACAAAAGTAAGTACTTTTAGCCACGAATTAGTACTATTAGCCACGAATCTTTCAAAGAAATAGACCTCAAGTTGCCTACCGCACACCAGAAGCTATTTATACAGAAAGCAGATGCTCCTAGGTTTGGACAAAAACAAAAAGTGGGCTGCAATTTTGTTTAATCGTATTATCCAACTGTAGTAAATGTGAGCTGAAATGTAATGAACTGAAACGTATTTGTACAGTGCTTGGTTTGTAATCTTTCTGCTCAGTCTTATTATGACTTGATGGGATTCTGCAACACGTGCCACAGAACAACTGTGGTTATCTGGTTGAGTTTATGTCAGAGATGCAGAAAAAAGGATATCGGAAGACAGAGACGCTCATTAGACAGGTAATTTAATAGGAAGTGAAAAAAATATTTTCTTATAAGCTTTAGATAAAAGATGGTTTTCATAAAGGTGCCGAGCATTGCACAAATCTTGAGTCCTCTGGAGGAGCAGTTTCTGCAGATTCTGCATTTTTTTCTGATAGATTTTCAAATCCAGGTGTCCAAAATTTGGATTGTAAACTTTATCATAACTCATGGTCATACCATCACTAATATAAATGTTTAAGTGACTTTGGCTATACATGTGATTAAATTTTAGGGAGTGTGTGTTTACAGAATTGCAGGAGCCATATCAGAAATAATGAGCATACCTTAAAACTCCTTTTAAAATACTGGGCTGTGCGAGTCCAAAACGTGAGCAATTCATTCCAAAACAACAGCAATTCCCAAACTTGAATTTTTGATTCACATCTTAGCCACCAAGTTTGAAAATGTTGGCCATAAATTACAGCATCTTAGATTTTCATGTGTTGGTTTCTTTTGTAATGTAAACTTGCCTTTAAAGACAAGGATTTCAAAGCTTTATTTGTGGTATATCAAGCATCGGGTATAAATGTCCCTGAGACCCAAGCTCTCAGAAAGGAACCCTGAGCCTTCCTCTTTCTTCTTAGTAAAAGCAAAGGTTAGCTCAATAAATAGCATTAATTGGATCTACGTCTGTCGTAGGACTGACACTACTTCTCTCTTCTTGAAAACAAGTTAACTAATATTAGTTTCCTTCGTAAGTCTGCTATAGTTCCCACTTGTTTCACATGATGTCTGTGAACAGAGTCCAAAGGCCACCAAAAGAAGCAGAGATGTCTGCTACTGTGAAGAAAATGGAGACTGGCTATATAGCCAGAAGTTAATTATTCATCAGGCTCACTGTTAGTCATGAGAAATGCCTTAGTTATTGCCAGAATCCCGTTTGCTATACTCTATACCTGCTCTGTTGTGAAAGAGCAAGCAGAACTCGCAGCAGAGTTTGCCTGTGAGCAAACGAGATATTCAGTTTAAAATATTAAAATAAAGGTAGTAAAACATCCTCTGCAGAAGTGGCCTTTATAACCAGCATAGCAAAACTGCGAGTACACATAACGCCTACAAGAAAGATAAAGGCAGAGGGGAAAGCCAGAAGTTGTAATTTGAGTAGTGCATGATGTAGCTGATGCAATGACCTTGTGTCAGATTAAGACAGTGGTGGCATTTGACCACTTTCTCTTTGAACCGGGGTGAAATAGGGTGAGGAATTTATTTTGTGCTTTCCGCAAACTATATTTTGATATGCAGTTCAGAAGCATTGAATAATGCTTTTCTGGCATATCATGGAAATTTGGCATTGGCCCTTAACTGAGAGAGGGTGCTACTGTGGGGTTCAGCCTTTCGCCTTCTGCTGCTCTTTGCTCTCCTGAAGTTCTTCTGGTGGTGCCAAAAAGGGGCCTAAGACACTGCTAGCTGACAACAAATGACATGAAATGTTTAGCATCGTTTCAGCTGTCAAAATTTCACTCTGTTCTTCTGCATTTGGAACAGGCACCCCGAACAAGTATGGGTGCAGGAGGAATCTGAAATCTGCCCAAAGCTGTTGCCCAAGAGACTTCTGATGTGAATTTATGTCTCTAACTGAGGAATGACACGAATCTCCAGGACACCCTAAAAACAGCCCTACTTATAAAGAAATCTTAGGCTGAGTTTTATGGTCTGATGCAATAGTTTGCATTATCATTTTAAAACAACTCCATAGAGTTGTTTGACTGTGTGTAATAACACATGTAGAGTCTTTGGAACAGCATTGGGCACCTGGGCGCTTGCAGCCAAGATGAGTTTCATTTTTCTTGAGACACCTCTAGTAGAAGAAAAATCTGTGCTTCTCTGTGTTTTCCTGTCTTGCTAAAGTTGTTCCCAAAACCTCTGTTAGACAGTTATTTTGTTACTTTACTACTTCTAACAAAAACTTCTCTAATTTTTATCCTTTTTTCCCATGCTCTAGAATCATGATAATTCTTACTGATGAATGGAGATAATTTATCCAACTGTTTGGATAAACTATTCAAGTAGTTTATAGAGATTTTTTTCTTTTCAGCCTTCTTTTCTGTGAATTGATCACGCACAGTTCACATAGATGTTCTTTTTCAGCTGTTTTATCATTTTTATGCTTGTCTCTGTGTGCCTTTACTTTGCTTTTTTAATGTAGTGTTCAGACTTCATTTTGGGCTGAGGGGCCTAAATGGGAAGGAGAAGCAAAGAATACTAGCCTGCTTCTTTGCATTGTCCTACTGTCACATAGCTTTGAATCTATTTTTAATTGTCCAAGAATCATAAGAATCAGACATTCAAAATATATATTTTCATTGGGTAGTTATGTTCGTGTATTGAGAAGATGCTCTCTTTATGTATGTCCTGGAGTTCATCCAGTTGGCTAATAAGGCTTCAACTAGTTTGCTTGAAAGTGTGCATCACAGTCTTAATGTATGTAACAACTAGGCTATTTTTCTTCTATATTAGTATTAGACTTCATTTGTTTCAGTGAATTCTGTCTCCCTGGATTACAGTAAAAAATCTGCTACTCAGTCAGTAGAAGGTGGCTTTCAGTTCACCACCGTTGAATTCTAGGCTTCAGAAGTCACCACCTTTGTCTTGTTCCTCTCTGAATGTCCATCAATTTCTGAGCGACCTTTAATCAGGTGGTGGAACCAGTGGATATGCAGCCACAGAATTTGCAGGGTTGTTACCCAGTTCTTAGAAAAAAACTAGAATTATAAGATTGGAAAACTATTTCCTGGAAAGATTTTCATGATAAAAAGGGGAAGGGAAAAATAACAAATATGGAAGTTTCTTCTACCAAAAAATCCTATCTCCATTTTTTTTTTTCAGGAGTCGCCAAAGTATGTAGTGTTTTTGAATGGGGTACATAGTGGATTTTGGATGGAAACTTAGGGTCGGCCTCTTAAATACTGAAAAATCGGATTGGATAAAATCCAGGGAGCTGTACATGTACGTTAGGATTAAACAGGCTGATATGCAACTGAAAATTAGAAGATTTCCTTTTAAGCAACAGTGTAAGTCAAAGAAGTCTTTATCTGTGTGAAGATGTTGAGGAAAGGCCAATTTAGCTAGCTCTGCAACTCGTTAAGCAAGCGGGATGGCAGTCACCTAAGAAGGAGCCATATATGCAGTCTGCTTGTGCATGTTATAATATCAAAAGTTGGTTAAACTGTAAAAACAACTGCAGGAACAAAGACCAGACCCCATGTCTTCAGCTTCCCGACTAGCAGGCGGCAGTCAGGCAACCCTTTTCTACCCCAGTTTAGTCTTGATTTATGTTCTGTACAACGGAAGAGCTTCCAAAGAGGAGATGGCCGTTGGTCGTCTTATATCTCTCACATTAGCCTCTGGCAAAGCGTATTTTAAACAGTTAGGTAGAAATGTGAAAATGAGCTTGTGTTACCTGTTCTCTTGGTAAAGGGTCTGGCAGCTAAGGTGCTAGAGCTGCAGCCCTGCTGGGTCTTTGTCCAGCCGCGTCCTCCAGGAGCGCCGTGGTCTGCGCTGACGTGTATGGGGAGCCTGGCCATGCACTGTGTGCCAAAGGTGCGCTCTGGCCGGGCTTGTCGGGATGGAGGGATCCTCAGGCTTGGACTTACTTCACACAATTTTACATCTGAGCAAATCAGCTTGCTCTGCCTGTACAGCTGGTTGAAGAGGCGCTTGGAGGGTGTGATTCAACACGAGTATTTCGGAAGTGTGCTTAGTGAGCAAGGTTTATTCCTGTGTGTTGTCTGTAATGGGAACCTAGGTGATGAGCTGCCACGTAGACATTTACTTTTAATCAGGTAAATCCCAGTCCTTGAACAGATAGAAAGCTGTTGAGTCTAGTGAAAACTGTAGCGCGTGGTTAGAAACAGGAGCATGGGGGTTAGAAACAAAACTGTGTGTTTGGCAGATTTTGAAATCAAACAGGGGGTTGTGTGCAGAGTTTCCCCAGGGTGAAAGGCCGCTGAGCTACAGCGGCCAGCATTTTAATTTTGGGGTTGGGCGCCTAAACCCAATATCAGGTACGTAGGGTATTTGGGGGAACCTGACCCTTTTTTAGCAAGGGATGACAAATAAAAACTCCTCTGTTTAGAACAGTGTGAATGGAAAATGGAAAAGCAGCCTGTCAGAGCGCCACCAGGGCCTTGGAGAGTCAGGTTCAAGCCATCGCCAAGCGTCCTAACTGACGTCTAACACCTCCATCTCTTTTTGGCAATAAGCCACTGAGTCAGAAATGACTTTTACCCGGGTCTTCCAATTCCTAGGCAAATAGTCTCATCACTGTGGCTTTTTTAAAAGTCAGTGCTTTACCTCCATGTCAAGGAAGTAAATGCTGAAACCTTAACAAAAAATGGAAAACTGACTTTGTGTTCTCCAGCAACCTTCATCCTTTTGTGACCTGTTATACAAGTCCCTCTCTCATTTCCTCGATCTCTGAGTTCAGTGAGGACTTCTGAGGGATTCCACAGTGTCCTCTTTGTACAAACAGCTTTCTGGTTGTTTTAGTTATACGTTTTAACTATTATTAAATTAGGATCTGTACAGAACTAGCTGACAAATATGCAACCATAAATTCTTTGTTGTTCAGAAAGGCTGTTGAGCGGAGGCTTTCACTGGACTACCTCACCAGAGTTCACAATAAACTTATTAACAAAGACTTAAACTCATAGCATATACCACACCGCCAACTGAGTAATAACAGCAGCTGGATGGGGCACAGAGTCCATATTTACTACACAGGACCCAAATTGTGAGAAGGACCTATAGGTTTTGTCAAGAAGCAACTGGAGTGGGGAGAAGAGGCAGAACATGCCCAAGCTGTGCTAATAGTGAAGAGAGACTCTGGAGACTACTGGGCCTGCTACCTAAAGGTTGCATCTTAAAGGTATTTTAAACAAGAATATCATCTTGGTCAAGGAGCTAAGGAGTGAGGGTGTATGGCAGACACAACTTTCCGCTCACCTTGAAACTCCGCAACTCTGAATATGGGTGCTTGGCTCTAGCAGAAGGAGGAAAAGGATCTCTTCCCTATGACTTCTGTTTTCCTTCATTTACTACTTTTGCTTTAAAAACTCAGACTCTGCTTGTCAGATGGATGCCACTAAAGCACCACCATTCCCTATCAGGGGAAAGTGGACATGAGAAAACACTGAGTCAAACTGAGCATTTTCTGGCCACAAACAAACGGTGGCTGCCCCAGGTGGCGGAGGGGACTGTTCCTGGTGATCTGTAGCCATATCCCTGGGCTCAGAGTGAAGCTGCGTCTGCCAGCCTCAATCCAGCAACAGTGCTAGAGGCAGAAACTAATAGGCCTGTGCATGTGTGCATGCATACACGTCTGTGTGTGTGTGTGTGTGTGTGTGTGTATATATATATATATATATATATATGGATTTATCGATATATATACACATGTATGTGCATATATGTGTATACCTACATACACACATATATATCTGTTACCTACATTTTTTTATACACACACACACATACATACATATATAAAAATAATGTTTTAAGTAGGCTGGACTGTGGATAGGCAGACACAGAAATCCTGCAAACCAGAAGGGAGAAAGGAGGAGAATTGCAGGCAGCAGCTTTCATCACTGGCCTAAGCAGCTTCACAGAAGAGCTCACTGAAAGCCATGGTCCACCTTGGGAGACAGGGAGACACCGGGGAACAAATCTGCAGTGATTTGGGGGCTGGAGCTGTGCACGGTACAAGGGCCAGAGAGTCCTGTAACTGCTCAGTCAAATGATCTAGGAAGAGATCTGGAAAGAAAGACACTCCGGCTGGCTGTGCAGGGACATAAGCATTGCAGAACTGCACCAAAGGGACAAAATTGGCCTCTGGAGAAAAAGAAGAATAATGCAAAGGATGTGTCAGAACTACTGTTCTTTTCCTGTGAATAATGTATATGTTAAGTACTGCAAGTTATTTAGGAAAAATATAATTTAGTTGTTTTATTCTGAAAAAAAAGTTAAATCATTCAACCTTTACCAAACACATCTATTAACTTGTAGGTATGAATTAGGAGCAGCTTTGTTCATTGGCTGGGCTGGAGCTTCACTCTGCATCATTGGTGGCAGTATATTCTGCTTCTCAATAGCTGAAAACAGCAATACTCCAAGGTAAAACACAAGTTGTACTTTTTGAAAGAAATCAATACGTGCACATTTGTACCTGCTATATATATGCAGTTTGATTGCTTTTTCAAAACACTTTGCAATGATGTTCAGAAAAGGATTGCATGGATGAAAGAAAACAGTGGAATTTAAGGATAATTCTCTTTCCATCATTAATGTAATTAAGAAAAGCTACTGACTCAGTAAAAATATTTGTAATATGTATACTTAATACATTCATTATAGCTGGAAAAAATCCATTCCATGATGTAGGAAAAGTGGTCAGGTCACCATAGAAATGTGAGTGGACGGCAGCATGTTATTAAGGGACAAGTTTGCTTAACCCCGAATCATCAGATAAAAACCTGACAGAGCTGAGGGACAGTGGTGGTGGTGGTGGGACCTCCAGCAGAGGAAGAGGGATGATGAAGCAGCACAGCTGGGGTGAGTAACTGTTAATCTAGGAACTGCCACAGCCTGAACATTTCATCTGATTGGCCCCTAATTCACTTGGCTGTGAACAAGGGATCCATGTTTATACGACAGTGAATTGCAAAGAAAGATGCTGCAGAGGAAACTGAAACATCAAAAGAGAACGAGATTGCACAGGGAAGGAAGGCGTGCCCCTTTCTCCAGCTTTAAACCCCAATGTGTTTCTTCTAGTTTATATTATTATAATGCATAGCTACAGAGATGTTGCCTGTTTGTGGGATAAGCTGCAAATGGGTGGTTCTCTTTTCTCTTCAGGATGGGGTACGCATATAATGGAGCCGCATCTGTGATGTCTTCTCGTATGAAGGTCCACAACACTGTTGCGGACAAAACCCCACCGAAGCACTTTGACAAGAATGCTTACGTTTAATTGTACTGTTCCAAGATCCAAAGCCAGTTACAAAAATCAGTTTGTATGTGTCATTCAGAGAGTGATTTCCCCTCCCAAAACCCAATGTAGTTACCACTAAGATGATGAATTTTTAAAATATGAACTTGCAGCTTTTTACATATTGATGTAAATTTTGTTATACGATATTTTATGATTGATGTTGGTATTGTAAAGTTTGTACCGGCAAATCATGTGCTTGTGTTGCTTTCTAGAAAAAATAAATAGGATATTTACAGATGTGGTATGTCAATTTTGCTTGTCAGAATGCCATCAGACACGTCTTTACTGTAGTGCATCCTTACAACTGATTCTGAAATGTACTGGACAAAACCACCATATTCTCTGTAGGTTTATATGTAAAATGTCTCACAACTTAAAAGCTGTGACGTTAGAATTTGATTTTCAGAGTGCATTGTAACTCTGGTGCCAGGCAATGACGGCCAAGAAGAATCAGCAGACTCTTACCACCTTACCAATCGTGCTGCCAGGAACGGAAGAAAGGCCTAAGTTAGTCAGTTCAGTGCCGTAGGAAGAAGAGGAGGAAGAGGCTGGGGAAGGTAGAAAGAAGCATGGAATCTGGAGAGCCAGGAGCCACACAGAACAGCCCCAAGCGGCTGGGTTAAGCAACAGAAGGGAAAAACCCTGGGCAATACCAGCTGGCCTGCTCTGCGAATGACATTCCTGAAGGGCTGACCAAGTAAAAGCATGCAGTACGTAACAGCACCTTTTTTAGATAGTCTTCACTTAGTTACAACAGTTCAAAAATTCAGGTAGTACTTTTTCATTGTCTGTCTATAGATATGTGATGGCTTTTGAGCAAATATTTGTACAATGATTCAATAAACAAGATCAGAGATTATGAATAACCACAAAATACTTTCTAGCCTGAGACCCTATAATTAGCCACAAAATCAGGTCTGTCTTGACATTTGAAGAGCCGGACCCTTGGAGTATTGTTAAATCAGTTATTTTGGGACAAAGGCATAAATATGAACAATGATTAGCCCTCTTTTTTTATGGCACAGTATGACAGAAGGGCTTTATATCTGAAACTATCTAAAATATATAAGAACTACAAAACCATTCAAGCTTTTCATTTTGCTTTATTTTTGTATTTCATCTAAGTTAAAACATTGTTCCTTTTTTTGAGAAGGCAGCCAATATGGACAGAACAAAAATATGAAAGCACTAGCTCAGTGACAGGTCACTACTTTTCTTACCTCAGCTTGATGTTCTTATGTTTTCCAGTTTCTGTGCTTTTATGTTAACTTGCATAAGACTCTACTCTAATAGGAGAAAAAAAAAGAATAACTCCCCAAAATTGAAGGTATTTAATAACAACTAATTTTATAACTGAGGCCATTTTTTTCATTTGGTGTTTATTGTAAACCATGTTAGAAATGTAACATTTTAACACACGGAAACACTATTTAAAATGCTCACAATTTTATATAAAGTTTAGGATAAAATACAAGAAAATATACATTTAAAAATCTTATAAAATAAAGTAATACTCTGCAGTAAATTCTGTTCATTGGTTAACAGGCTTTCTTACAAGACCAGTTTCAGTCTTAAAAGAAAACATTAGAGGCAACATCCCCACTACAAAGAAATCAGAGACATTTTTGCCATTGACTTTGCTGGGACTAAGAATTAACTCTGAATTTGCAAATACTGACGGCTAGTAAGGTATATTTAAATACTCGTTTCCAGTCCAGGGTGGAAAGGAAAAGGGCTCGGTTAACAGTATTCCTGGTTACTATATGAACAAAATAACAAATGAATATGAAACAATTTTGATGTTTTCAGCTAAATTTCCAACCCCAACAGAACCCAAATGCAGTGTCTCCTATTAGGAATACAACAATTATATATCTGAAGAATCACTCCAATCTGTTACAGTGACTAAGCTGCTTTTTAACGTACTTGTATTATCAGCTTCATGAAGGCCTGTTAAAATAACAAAAGGAATTATTAAAAATTATTAATATATTTTGGGAGTATTTTTCTTTATATTGACCTATGACATAAAATGATGTGCTATGTGAACAAACACCTGTGGACTTCAGAAGTCCAGAATTACAACCAGTGGGGAAATTACAGATGTTGATAGTATGAAGGAAGTTTCTGTCACAAAATATAATGCACAATACAAGCAAGTCAGTGTCAACATTACTTTCCTTTTAAAAATGACATGAAGTATCCTTTTCATAAATATAATGGACAAAGTTTTAACCCTCCATATCTGGAAACGTTACGGCTGGGAAATAATACGAGTCTTCTACTATATAAAATTGAGGCTCTTTCCTTACCAGTGATTCAAATACTTTTCCCAGCCTTGCAGGTCATTAGACATGTATCTTCAACAAATCTGAGAGTTGATTATTCTCAAGCCAAGGCAGTTTTCATACCCTCCACCCCCAAATTTAGGAAAGGATTAAAAAAATATTTTCCTGCCTGATTAATTTGTAAGAAAGAGGATGGCTGAAGCCTGATAGTACTATATGTCTTAAAACCTCAAATCTAAGTGTTTTGGTATTTTGTGTATTCATATACATATGTGTGTGTCTTTTCACACACACACACACACACACACACACACACACACCTTTTTATATATATACACGCATATACAGATATATATATATTAAAGTACAAACACATGCAGTTTTTCTTTTTTGTTCTTGTAATTTCATGTATAGTGTTTTACAGTGTGCAATGCACTACACAAGTTCTCCTCTATACGTGTCAGGTGCTTAAGACTTATACTGTAAAAGTCTGACTGTTACCTTCCTCTTTTGGTACATTCGTCTTTGGAAGACCCCATGCATGTACCACTGATGCAGCAGCATTTGACTCGTTTTTTTGAACTGTCAGTGCTTTCTGACCTTTATCATTTTTCATCAATACAAAGTCATCTTCTACAGATGATATATCCCAGTCATCTTCATCAACTTCTGTGAACTAATAGGAAGAAGAAAAAACAGGCATCTTTCCTCTGTCTCTACAAGTTCTTCTGAGATCAGCTTCTTCCACAAACCCAACAACATGAAACTGCTGAAGAAAAGTGGTGCATGACTTTTATGAGGTCAACCACCATAGTTGTTAACCGCCACATATTTCAAATACATAAATTATATTAATTCACTACTATACTTGCAAAGCTAAATTTTTTTTTTCAAGTCAGGATCTGCAAAAGTTAAAGAACCATTTCCATAACTGGCAGAAACCTGTATTTTGTGGTATAACACGTCTAACTTAATAGGAGTCGTCTTTGCTGGGATATTGGCTTTTCTGATAAGATGGAAAATATTTTAAATATTACACTGTGTATTACTTACATGAAAATAAAGATACTGCATGTCATCATGCAAGGTGGCAGTTTAATTTGCTATAAGCTTTCTGTGTTTGCAGTACATAAATTTAACAATGCAATAAGGGTCTTTCGAATTTAAAATTAATTTATTTAAAAGGAAAATTAAAAAATGAAATTAAAAAAAAACCCCAGTGCTCAAAGTTAAAATATATATTCCTCCTAAGACTCACTGTATGCATATACAAGTATGATTTTTCAAATTAAGCAGTAAATTTGCATAACGACTTCAGGAAATGAAAGCCAAGTCACACAGATGAACCTGAAGGCTGTGAGTCCATGGTCGTTCTTATCTCTTCCAGAGATACTTGAGAACCAAGTATCTTCACTCAGCTTTTGAAAAAAAAACAGCTACAACACTTCCCTGTTTGTCAATCATCAGCTGTGGTTCAATGGAATCTAGCCATTATTAGAGGGCCTAACTGTCAAAAGAGAGAGATGGCTTCTCACGAAGTTAATACCTTATTTCACTGGAGCTTCTGAATATTACAATAAAATGTAGAATGTGCTTATATTGCACAGAGGAAAGATTCAGATGCTCTTATAAAACAATGTAAGTTATGTACGTACCAGAGAAAAGTCCATAAATATAAACATGTAGTGTGTCTTGACAGAAGTTAAGAGACTGAAGTAATGCTATATGTTACAACATAATTCAGGCTTTCACATTCATAACTGTTGCAAACTGTTTTTTCAAAAAGTGACAGATCTGCTCAGTGTGCTGTATTATTAACATACCAGGATTTGACATTTAGTTACTTTAAATTATATGCATTCGGAGGGTGTGGTCATGGGAAAGACATAGTAACATATATTCTGAAATGCTGGAGGAAGAGTTTCTTCAAATACTCACTCAATCCCAAATGTTTTTCAATACAAAAATACTTCAACTTTGAATAGAGCTCTTCACACAGTTTGGACCAAGTGCAAACACACAGCGCTACTCAAAACTGCTACGCAAATTCAAAGATTTACTCCAAAGAAATACCATAACCCATACAACATCCAGTATATGTGAACGCAGGTAATATGGCTACAGTCAAGCAGAAATACAACTTTCTCTAAAATGTTTCTAAAATAATTTCTGTAAAATGTGACCTCTGTAAAACATATGACAATAGGATTCTTTAAAACATTTCGTGGTACTTCAGCTGTGGGTTTTGAGAATGACCATTAGCAGCTATTAATACTTAAGCCATCCTAACCTAATAAAAAATGTGGATTTTCAGAGAAACCATCACTCTCCATTGGCATTTTATGCCTATATCTTTGGACATCTTTGAAAATTGTCACTAAAATTTAAATAATTAACTGAAATTATATGCCTACATTTAAACGTACAAATAGAGACATGAAGGTAAGCATGTTCACATATCATTAACAAAGAATATAAGATAACGTCTTCTTTAAAGACTTCAAAAGCAAAGTAGCAACATCTGCCCTGTGTCTGTAAAGCTCATTTCGAAGCCGTCGTGTCCACATCACAATGCACCATTGTGTATTCTCTATACTATAAATGAATTATAGCAAAAATATTTTCCACATCTTTAAAATATTGATTGTAAGGTTTATTTTGCTACAGGTCTCTGCTCTTGAAGCCTAAATTCCTTAACACAGTGACCAACTGTCTACAGGCCTCTATAGAATGTAACATCCCCTAAATTTACTCTAAAATATGTAGCTTTTTACTCTAAAATATGTATCTTCTACTCTGTGACCATCTTATGGTTTTGTATCATCCGAATTTGCTTGAATAACATTTGGACACAAAATTACACTGTAATAGTCAGGTCTGATTTGATGGTTTTGTCTCTAGTGTGATTTGCAGCCCCCACACACTCAGTGGACAAGGTAGGTACTGCCAGTGGCAACTCAAAGCACACAGGCTAAATGTGATTACCCTACCTTTACAGTTCAATTTGATTAAGATTATTCCCCCCTTTCTGGGAACTGATATAAAAGGAGTTATTACTTATGAGAGGAAGGATTCTTCAGATAAAATTTTAAATCCGGATTGTCTCAGTTTCAGATTCAGTTGTTAGTCAGGAACCCCTAAGGTATGAGTTTTACTGTGGATAATGTTGATTTTCAGTGATTATTATCTGTTTAGTTAAAAAAAAAAAAAAAAAGATTTTCATGAGTTGCAGACCTATTGTTTGGCTGTCTGTTTCAATAAAAAATACCAAAACTGAAGTAAACGAGCACTATCTGCTGTTGATTTCTGATCTGGAGTAACTTTTGTTTTTAGTCCAAAATTGTTCAGGTAAAGATCAATGTCCATCAAAGTGGCTCACCAATTATAAAACTCTAAAATGAAGGGAAGACGTGGACCTTAGGAAAGCATGAGAAGAGGTAAAGAATACGCTCTGCTAGCATTTTGGCTGTGAACATACGTCAAACTCACTGCACAGACATCACTGCTAGATTGGCTATCGTTTGAGGATAGTATATGATTTGTAAACAGATAGAGCAGAACAACGAGCACAGTCAGAAATGGAATTTGTCCCCTTGTGAAAACGCATTTAAAAGCTCTATATCAGATAAAGGTCTAGAAATAAAAACACTCTGAAATACTAGATAAGCAAATCGAGTTTCTCCTCCATCAGAAAAAAGATACTAGGAAAAGCAAGTAAAGAATGGCTATATCTATGCTGCTAAAATAAGAGGTAAAAGGATGCAAATTGTGCCCAAACTTCCGATTAGCTATAGTGGTCCAAAACACTCATGGCATAAGCAAACAAGCAGTGTGGATGAAAAGTCACATGTCACAGCTCACTCTTAGCACTCATACATAACAGCGCAGATGTGCCCAAAAAGACTACTTATCTATAACTTCAAAACTTCCTTTGAGAAGACAAAAAGGTTTCAAAAGGGTTTTAGCATGAAATAAAAAGTAACAGAAATACATCTAATTCAAATACCGAATGAAATAATAATGACTATTATAATTGATACCTTCAGCTCTTGCACCTCTTCTTTCTTAATAAATGCCTGGGCAACGTTAATCCCTCCAGCTGGTTTATTTATATTTCCGTGGTTAGAAAGACTCTTTCCAACTTGTTCAGTCATTTTTGGAATAACTGTTCCTAAAAGTTCATAAAGAATTATATTGACAATTTTCATTCACAAGTAAGGCATGAAAAGATCTCTTTCTATGTCCGCAATCACTTGAATTGAGAGAAATAATTAAAAACAGGTATTTATGTTTTTCCCCTGTACAACTCAAAATATTATGCTTTTAAATCAATAATTTCATTCAAAATTGTAATTGAAATGATGTTAAATTCTACGTGTATTTCTTTTAATCATTTTGGATATAAAATATGCTCAGTTTAAATATATTTTTCTCTATCAACCTGCAAATTCAGCTTAGGAAGTCACAAGCTTCTCTGTTCCTCTCTTTCCCAGTTACACTGATGTAATTGTGCTTGGGGCTTTACTGCAAACCCTGTAAATATCTTTCACAGCATAACAGTAAGTAAAATTCTGAGAAAAACTTTTAGACTGAAGTCTCTCTGAGGCAGAAATCATCTCTTTTTCTGCATTTATATAAAACAGCATGATACTGGCCTAATCCTAACTGACATCCCTAAGCACTATGATAATATAAATATGCTAGTGAAAGAATAAAGTAAGTGCACACATACATACACTCAAAAGTGTAAGCGTAAAGTAAGGCACGCGCACTCAAAACTTGGCAGTCGGGCTTCCGTATGTTTTCTAACACAGCAATAGTATCAGGAAATTCAAAATCATGCATAGCTGATATGACATGTTTTTGTTCTACAAAAGTAGTGAAAAAAACCTTTTGAAGTTTTGGCAGGTGCTTCAGTTTCCTCTATTTCACTTTCTTCAGTCCCATCCATAGCACTTTTGCCAGAAGCCATCCGAAAAGCATTGATATTGCTGCTTGAAGTTTTTGACTGTTTTTGCAATAATTCTGGTGATATGTAAGCGTGCTTAATATCATAATCATCCACTTCTTCCTCTGAACTGAATGGTGGAGTTCTAAGCCAAAACACATAAGACCTGAGAACTTATCAGGTTTCAGTGACTGCACTGATACACACATATTTAAGCTTCATTGTATTTTCCTTTCCAGTAACATGCACATTTTTCTGATTTGAAAAAATAGCAACATCCATAAATTCTCAGTATATGTAAAACTATTTAAAAGAAATCACATTAGTAAGTAAACTGGAATAGTTATCACAAAATGATCTCTTATACAGGCACAATTATCTCTGTCTAGGCAACTGTCTTTACGAAACCAGCGCTCCGGGTATATAGCAAGTCTTGCCAGGCAAACAAAGATAGGCTTTCAAGGTTCAGCA